AGAGAGAGAGAGAGAGAGAGAGAGAGAGAGAGAGAATGAGAATAAAGGTACAAATTGAGTGATTAGAAATGTGAATTTCATGGGGCAGCTAGGTGGTGCTGTGGATAGAGCTCTGGTCTTGGAGTCAGGAGGACCTGAATTCAAATCTGGCCTCAGACACTTGACACTCACTAGCTGTGTGACCCCGGGCAAGTCACTTAACCCTGATTGCCTTGCCAAAAAGCAAAAAAAAAAAAAAGAATTTCTAATGTGACAGATTTGGAAATGTGAAGGGATATTTTTATCTTCAGCTCAGTTAATAAATAAGCATTTATTATGTGCCTACTATATGCCAGGCACAGTGCTAGGTGCTGGGGATACAGATAAAAGTGTTTGTCTTCTTGAACTTAAAGGGCTTACATTCTTTTTTTAAAATAGATTTTTATTATTATCTTTTATTTTTATATCACCTTGGTCTTCTCCTGCATTCTTCCCCCATCCTCTCCCAGAGGGCCATTCCATGTAAACAAATAATTTTTTTAAAAAAGAGAAAGAGGAAGAGAAAAAAAAATTCAGCAAAACTGATTAACACATCGAAAAAAATGTTCATTCAGTGTTCCACACTCGTGGACGTAGGAGTGGGTCGACATGCTTTTTCATATCTCTTCTTTGGGGCCGTGTGTTCTTTGTAATATTGAACCATTCCCTTTCTATTGTTGTGTGGTAGGTGTTTTCTGTGTTTATATTGTTACTGTCATTGTTGACATTGTTTTTCTGACTTGGTTTATTTAACTTTTCACCAGTTTGTGTCTTTTCCTATTTCTCTGTATTCGTTATGTTTGTGATTTCTTGCAGCTCAGTAATATTACATTTTATTCATGTGATACACTTTAGCCATTCCCCAATCTATGGGTATCTACTTTGTTTCTAGGTCTTTGCTACCACCAAAAAGTGCTCTTATAAATATTTTGGTGTATAGAGTCTTCCTTCCTTCCTCCCTCCCTTCCTCCCTCCCTTCCTTTCTTCTTTCCTTCCTTCCTTCCTTCCTTTCTTCCTTCCTTCTTTCTTTCCTTCCTTCTCTCTGTCTCTTTCTCTCTCTCTATGACTTCCTTTGGGTATGAAATCTTTGAATCAAAGGCTGCAGACATTTTAGTCACTTTCTTTTGAAATCCCATCTATCTTTCCAGAATAGTTGTAGTAGTTGACAGCTCCACTAACATAAGTGTGCCTGTCTTTCCATAATCTCTCCATCATTGACCATTCTCCTCTTTTGTCATCTGTGCTAATTTGCTGAGTGTAAAGTGAACCCTTAAGATGGTTTTGATTTGTCTTTCTCTTCTTATTTGTGATTGGGAACATTCTTTCATATGCTTGCTGGTAGTTTGCGATTGTTCTTGTGAGGATTGCTCATATCCTTTGACCACTTCTCTCTTAGGGATGGATTTTAGTCTTATATATCCTCTTAGTTGTCTGGATATATTAGATATCAAACATTGATCAGAGATATTTGATGCACAGATTTTTTTCCCTAGTCTCAGGCTTCCCTTCTACGTCCTAATTTTGTTTGTGCAAAAGCTTTTCAGTTTTATGTGTAAGGGTCAGGGGTCAGCTAGAGAATTACTTCCACCTTACTTAAAGATGGGATCCATTTATCAGGTGAGAACACACTTTATTGTTACTACAGGTGAAGAATCCTAGACACCTCCCTAAGTCTGATCCTATTGGTGGAGGGACATGGTCATACTACGGGCCTATATAAGACAGTAGCTAGTTCAAAACCTGACAAGGATTACTGGGGATGGGGAAGGGGGAAGGCAGGAGAATCCCCTCCCTAGAGCTCTCTTGTTGTTGTTAAATCTCCTGACCCTCTTTTAACTTTTTTATACAAGTCTCCTAGGGTATGACCAAATACGTCACCCAATAGGAACAACTTCTGTTGCACCTAGGGAAGTGTCCAGGTCTTGCTTACGTTTAGTGAACAACTCAGATGTGTTCTCAACTGATAAATATAGCAGGCCATAGCATCTTATCATTTACTTTAAGTGAGGTAGGATTATTGTCTAGGCTGACCTTCAGCCTTATGTATGTCAAGTCAGTCCATGTTGCTTGTTGTTTGTTCTGGAAGAGAACCAATGATATCAGCAGGGTGATGTTTTGACTTGCAAATGAATTGGATTTAAGTGAGGCAGGGCTGTGTAAAGTCACCAGCCTCACTCTCTCCTCCAGAGTCATCTGAGTCCAGTGGCAAGGTATAGGTCAAGATGACTAGTGATGGCCCAGGATGCAGTGGGAGACCTTGGCCTTTTTAAGGTAAGGTCTCTCCCAGGTCTCAGTTTGTCTGAGGCAACACCCATTTAGTAGTCAAAGGTGAGGTAAGAATTGAAGTAAAAGATGCTCTACTTTGCTTTCTCAAAATAATCCCAAACAAAGGAACTATGTTTCTTGTGGAATGTGATAAGGAGGTAAAGGAAATTTAGGTACACACATGCCTTGCCAACAGTCACAAACAAGTAAGGGAGCAGGATTTGAACTCAGCTTACTTATGTCTCCAAATTCAGCATACCTTTCATCAAATACCAAAGTGGCAATGTTAGCAATTTTATACCATAGTTAGGTAACATCATCTTTGGTGATGGTGGTGATAGTATGAATAAAAATCAGTTATATTACACTTCATTGCTTAAAATTTGACTAACAAACTTAACTTATTAGTTTCCTTGGAATTAGATGGTGATGATGATTATTATTATTAGGGCTACTAGGTGGCACAGTGGATAGAGTGCCAGGCTTGGAATCAGGAAGACTCATCTTCCTGTATTCAAATCTGGCCTCAGATACCCATTAGCTATATGATCCTGGGCGAATAACTTAACCCTGTTTGCCTCAGTTTCCTCATCTGTAAAATAAGATGGAAAAGGAAATGGCAAATCACTCTAGTATTTCTGCCAAGAAAACCCCAAAAGGGGGGAGGGTCACAAAGAGTCAGACCCAATTGAAAAATGACTAAACAACATCGAATTATTATCACAATTGAAAAGGACTGTGATAATAAAATAATAGCTTATATTGCTATGTTGTGGTTTATAAAATGCTTTTTTCACAACCCACTGTAAAAACTTCCTTTTGTATTTTGAGAGGCTGAGACTCTGTGTGTGTGTGTGTGGGGGTGTGTGTGTGTGTGTGTGTGTGTGGGTGGGTGTGTTGAGCCCCAGCAGGACTTGAACTCAGACCTTATGATTCTAAGTCATAAGATCATGGGATTTTAGCATTAGAAAAGTACTTATAGGTCATCTAGTCCAGTTCTCTCATTTTAAAGATGAGGAAGTCAAGGTCCAGTGACTTTAAGTGACTTGCTCAATTCATACAGGCAGGAAATGTCAGATGTGGAATTTGAACCCTGGTGTTCAGATTCCAAATCCAGTATATCAGACTGCCTCTCTATGTAAATAGTGATGGCATGCTTTGTGACTTAAATGTTTCTTTTACTGTTAAAAAATGTGATATGGGGGAACATTCTGGAAGAGTTATAATTTTGCTATGTTACTGATGGCCCTAGTGGCCCCTACTCACAAGGGGTCCCTCGGTCTGCTTTCACATAGACCATGGTTTAGCCCTGGGGGAGTTCAACTCATTCCTACTTTTCTTGCTTTCTGTGGCTAGTTATGCCATGCTGCCCTTCCCCCCCCCCAATCTCAGGGAAAATCTAAATAAAGTTTAGGCATGACTTATTTTTAGGGTCTCCCAAAAAGGATTAATTGGGTTCCTCTAGAAAAATTACTCCATACTAGACCAAATAACATTCAAGAAATATAAAGAAAATCTTCTATAATTACCTTCATCTAGCCAAAAACAACAGACTAGAAAGGGGTCCATCAGAAAAGCCAGCACAGGCAAACAAGTCAAAAACTACCAATAAAGATCAGGCACATTTCAGTGACAACTAATGCCTCCATCACTGTGCCTGGCAACAGGGAATTTGGAGAGCTCAGATAAGGCTCCAAAAACACCACTATTCACAGAATACCAATTCACTGGTCAAGTCAGTCCATAAACATTTACTAAATGCCTATTATGTACCAGGCAATATGCTAAGTCCTATGGATACAAAGAAAGGCAAAAACAATCTCTCTTTTCAAGGAGCTCACAGTCTAAACAAGCTATATACAGGCTAAATCGTAAATAATCATCAGAGGGAAGTCACTTGAATTAAGGGGGATCAGAAAGGCTTCCTGAAGGTGGAATTTTAGCTGGGACTTGAAGGAAGCCAGGGAAGTCAGGAGGTGGAGATGAGGAGGGAGAGCATTCCAGGCATGGGGGACAGCCAGTGAAAATGCCTGGATTGAGGAGATGTTGATTTTATTTTTTTAATGACCTCTATCCCTTGTTTGGTTAAGAATTCATTCCATACCCACAGCTGTGAAAGGTTTACGATCTGCTTCTTTTCTAATTGTTTCATGGTATGATTTTTAATATTTATGTCATATATCCATTTTGAATTTATTTTGGAATATGGTATGGGGGTGGTGGTGGTTGCTATTGTTTTTGCCCATGTGGATGATATTCCTGTGTGTCTGTTTAGATGTTCATAAGGAGGAAAGAATAGACATTTATAGTCTCTTCCCCCTCTACCTTCTGCCTGGGAGTCTTTAATTCCTACCAGGAAGGGAAGCAGGGGGTTGAGGCCATAGGCCAGCCACTCTGCTCTCCTCTGGGAGAGGGAGTACTGAGCTAGAATTATATCTATCTGCTCCCTTAAATATTATTAATCTAGGGGGAAGCGATTTTTAGGTTTAAGCTAAACTCCTGAATGCTGTTCCTTAATGGGGAAGGAGGATCCCAAGCTTTATATTCAAGGGCTTGACTCCCTTTCCACCAGATGCTAGTTCTAAAATGAACACGAATAGCAAATAGCAAATAAACCCATTTATCTAAGTAGATAATAAAACAGAAATCAGAGAAAGTATACATAGGAGAAACATATTAGACAATATAGATTAAATGAGTTCTCCTTTTGGGAATGAGATAATTCAGTTCAACCAGGAGAGGGAGTCCCAGACCTCACTCAAGGGGAAATTTCCCAAATTCTCTAGAGTAGCAAGCTGGGGATAGGGATGCGATAGTGATGGCCAGCTTATCTACATGCCACTTCCTTTCAGTCTTCCTTTCTTTTTTCCCTGAAAAAAGATTGGAATTGTTCATCTTCTCTGTCAAAGTTGGAAGCTAGAAGTCCTTTGAGCCAAGGGCTTACAGGTGTAAGCCTAATTTCTGCCAAACTGCTTTCCAGCTTTCACAGTTCTTATCAAATAGGGAGTTTTTTTTCCCCTAGAGAATTTGTTTCTAGGTGAGGAGCTTGCATTTTAACAGGGTAGACAACATGTATATCTAAGGTGATGGGGATGATGGAAGCAAGGGGGATCAGGAAAGGCTAGATGTAGATGACTGAATGGTGCTCAGAAGTAGGAAGGGAACTATGGAAGTGTTTTGCACTACTACACATGTATAACCTGTATAGAGTTGCTTGCCTTCCCAATGAAGGTGGGTGGGGAGGGAAGAAAGGAGAAAATTTGGAACCCAAAGTTTTAAAAACAAAAGTTAAAAAAATTGTTTTCACATGCAACTGAGAAATAAGATATACAGGCAATGGAGTATAGAAATCTATCCTGCCCTACAGAAAAATTGAAGGGGAAGGGGGTAAGAGAAGGGGAGGGAGAGATAGAAGGGAAGGCAGACCAGGGGAAGGGTGGGGGGAGGGGCGAGATGGGGTGAAAATTTGGAACTCAAAATCTTGTGGAAGTGAATGTTGAAAACTAAAAATAAAAAAAGATAAAAAGGAAGTAGGAAGGGAGGAAAAATCGGGAAGGGAATTGAGGGAAGTTATATAGTATGGTCAGATTTCTAAATAACAATTACCTTGGGAAAGTGCTTTGTATCTATTATCTAATTTGAGTATTTCAATATCCCTGTGAGGCAGGTGCTACCATCACTCCTATTTTACTGTTGGGGAAACTGAGGTTCAGGAAGGTTTTTATGACAGACTCACACAGTGAGTGTCATCTTGAACCCACGTCTTTCGGACTCCAGGCACACGTCCAGCTCTCCAGGAGAGGCTTGGGGCTCAGGGGATGCCAGGGCTGCAGAGCAGCTTTTGGTACCACTTCTGACTTGTGTTTCACTTTCTTAAATTTGATACCAGTCAGCTTCTTCATTCATCAATAATCATCAGGTTTAAGGTTGGAAGGGACCTCAGGGGCCATTTATTCCAGTTCTCTCATTTCACAGATGAGGAGACTGAAGCCCAAGGAGGGGAATGGACTTGCCTAAAGTAACACAGGTAATCAGTGGAAGAATCAGGATTGGAATCCAAGGTCTCGGACTCCAGAGCCAGAGTTTTTCTTTCTTCCTCCCCTCCCTCACTGCCTTCCTTTCTCTCCTTCCCTCTTTCCCATATCTTTTCCTTTCCTCCCATCTTCCCTCTTTCCTTCCTCAGCGGCACGCCAGCCCTCAGGTCTAGTCCAAGACCTTGGAGCTGTAGTCACCGGTTTTTTAAAGTTCCATTCGACCTCACGCGAGCCTCAATGCAGGCCCCGCCTCTCCTTGGCTCGCGACCTTCCGGCGCGCATGCGTAGACTTGACTTCCTTGTGTTGTGCAGGCGCCGTGCAACCCGGAAAGACGACGTTCGGGTAGTACCTAAAGATGAAGTACGAAGCCTGTAGTTTGATGGGATTGGGGACCCTGGGGAAGGCAGGGGGGTGGGCGAGCGGGGTTGGGGCTGGTTGACCGCCCCAGGCCAGGAGGACGACCCAGCGCGGGGGGGGGGGGGCGGGCGGCAAGGGCCGGGCGCTGGCCTCGGGTGGTGCGTTCCGTCCTCACCCTCATCTCTGCTCTCCTCGCCCCTGCAGTGCTCTGACCAAGGTGAAGCTCATCAGTGAGCTGAACGAGCGGGAGGTGGAGCTCGGGGTGGCCGAGAAGGTATCCTGGCACGCCGAATACAAGGACAGCGCTTGGATCTTTCTGGGTGAGGCCTCCTCCTCCTCCTCCCCCTCGGGCAGACGCCTCCATGTAGGGCCACCTTCCTTTTCCATTCAATTCACTAAAAGTTTAATAAGAGCCTACTACGTGCCAGGCGACGTCCTCTTCCAGCCCTTTCTCAGGGCAGCAGCCTAGACTGGCCCGCGCGCCACTGGGGCTTCGGTGCCCCCCGTGGGCAGGGTACCCGAGGATTTCCACACCACTCGAGATGTCTTATCTCCCTTGTTCCCTCTACCGTCACAAGGAGCGTCAGGCTTAGCATTTTCATTTACATATTACATATAAAGGAAGGTGTAGCAGGTAAAGCACAAGAAGACCTACTACACCTGTGACCACAAGCTACATTAACCTTGGAGACTTCACCTCCACCTCCCTGAGCCTTAGGCAACTCCCTAAGATTTATATTTTAAGTTAAATATGGTTGCCATCTCTAGAAGCTGATACCTTGACAATAATAGGGAAGTTAAGAAGAGGCTCCCAACCTAGGTGTTATCCTCAGCTCCACATCACTTACTCTTACCCCCCATGTACAATCTGTTGCAAAGTCCTGTCGATGCTGCCTTCTGTTAATATCTCTTTTGTATGTTCCCTTCTTTCTTCTAACACTTCTTCCACCCAGCTACAGGTGCTCATCATCTCATACCTGGACTATTGCAATAACCTGCTGGTTGGTCTTCTTGCCTCAAGTTTCTCCTCCTCCTCCTCCATTAACTTTTCTTTCTTTTTTTTTTTTTTTAAATTTTAGGCAATTGAGGCTAAGTGACTTGCCCAGGGTCACACAGCTAGTAAGTGTCAAGTGTTTGGTCTGAGGCCCCATTTGAACTCAGGTCCTCCTGACTTCAGGGCCGATGCTCTATCTATTGCATCACGTAGCTGTCCCACTCCGTTAACTTTCAAAGTGATTTCACCAAAGCACAGGTCTGACAATGTCACCTCCCTATTTAATAAATTCATTATCTTTTCCCCTAAACTCTGCTCCCATCCAAGCTTCTCCTAATACTGTAGAGGGCACCCCCATCTTCCCAGTTCCCAAGGCTTGAAACCTAGGTGTCATTCTTGATTCTTCACTATCTCTCACTCCCCATATCCAATCTGTTGCCCAGATCTGTTGATACCTTTGCAGCATCTCTCCAATATACCCTTCTCTCTGATACTGGTACCACCTGGGTGCAGGCCTTCATCATCTCATGTCTAGACTATTGCAGTGGCCTGCTTGGTGGGTCTGCCTGCCACAAGTCTCTCCCCACTCCAGCTCATCTTCTAGTCAGCTATCAAAGTAATTTTCCTAAAGTGAAGATCTGACTATATCACCCCCATACTCAAATTTCAGTGGCTCCCTGTCCCCTCCAGGATCCAATGTAAATCCCACTGTTTGACTTTCAAAACCTTTTCTAACTTGGCCCCCTCTTACCTTTCTGGTCTTATACTTTACTCACCCCTATGTACTGTGCAATCTAGTGGCCTGCCTTCCTTCCTTCCTTCTCCTCCTCCTCCTCCTCCCTTCTCTCCTTCTGTCCACATAGGGAATCATATACTTATCTTTGGGTGCTCTGCCCAAAGGAATATAAATTTTAATTACTGAAACCTTGCAAAATATCTTAGGGCTTATGGGCTAGATTTCTTTCTTTTCTGGTCTCTACTTATCTCTTCTATCATTTGTATTAACTTTTTTATTAATAAGGTATATAGAGACAATGTGATATAGTAGATAGTACTGGGTTTGGAGTCAGGAAGATACAATCCCACATGTGATATTTAGTAGCTGTTTGATCCTGAGCAGATCACATTGCCTCTATGTGCCTCAGTCAACTTTCTAGGACTTATCTACTGAGTCATTTGTTGCTGTGATCTGCATTGTTGGAGGAAGTTCCCATACTGGAAATTCCCTGTGCTGACAAAATCATAGATCCTTTGTGTATTTATATATAGTATAATGAAAAGAACACTGAGTTTGAAATTAGAAGACTTGAGTTGAAATCCTAGCTCTGTCACTTAATAACTGTGACACTAGGCAAGTCAGTTTTACTCTCTGGCTCTCAATTTTCTCATCCATAATATCAGCATGATAAGACTTGTTTTGCTGACTGCTGAGGGTTGTTGTGGAGGAAATACTTTGTGACCTGGAAAGTGCTATATAAATCAGAATGAACAATTATATGCTCTGGACATGACTTCAAAGTCTATAGGTATCTGTAGAATGAATCCAGGATAGGTATATTCATAATAGTGGCTATGCATCCATCTTATTGGAGTGCTGAGTGGTGGCTAATGATCCTTGTTATCTTTTTTCCTAGGAGGGCTCCCATATGAATTGACTGAAGGCGATATCATCTGTGTGTTTTCTCAGTAAGTTACATTCCAATTGCTACTATAATAGTGAAACCTCATTTTGGGTCTGCTAATAATGTTAAGAAGAGAGGCAATATGGTGTGAGGGAAACATCTGGGAGTGGGTTAGTTGTCTGGAGACAGAGCTCCTAGTCCTAATTTTGCCAGTAATTTACCATGTGAGATTGAATGAGTAAGTTTCCCTCTCTGGGACTCAGTTTCCTCTAGTGTAAAATGAGGGAGTTGGACTGGGTTGTTTTTAGGCCCTTTTCTAGTTCTTACATTGGGTGAGTTTAATCATTATAGAATTCATTCATTCAGCAAGCATTTAATTGTTAACTTTGTGCAAGGCACTGCGCTGTGTGCTAGATACAGAGAGCAATCAATCAACAAGTATTGATTAAATGTTCATTCCTCCCCCAGACCAAGTAGTGGGCCTACAAAGGAAGGCAGAAACAGTCCCTTATTTCAAAAGAGCTTACATTCTGATGTGAGAGACCACATGCAAATAAATAAATACAATAAATATAATAAATACAATAACATAACTAAATCCAATATATACAATAAATATATAGGAGATACGTACAGTATAAATGGAAGGTAATCTGGGTTAGGAGTTACTAGGAAAGACCTTGTATAGAGAGTGGGATTTTAGCTGAGTCTTGAAGAAAGCCAGGGAGGTTAGGGAGAGGTAAGGAGGGAGAACATTCCAGGCACAGAGTCAGAAGATGCAGAGTGTCTTGTGTAAGGAAGAGCATGGAGGCCAGTGTTGCTGAATCACTGAGTTTGTGGAGGAGAGTAAAGTATAAGAAGACTGGAAAAAGTTGGAAGGGGTCAGGTTATGAAGGGCTTTAAAAGCCATCTAGGACTTCATATTTGATCCTGGAGGTAATAGGGAGCCACTGAAGTTTCTTGAATAGGGATGCTGCGTGGTCAGACCCGAACTTGAGGAAAATCATTTTGGCAGCTGACTGGAGAAGGGATTGGAGTGGGGAGAGATTTGAAGGAAGGAGAGCAACCAGGAGGTTATTGCCATAGTCCAGGTGTGAGGTGATGATTACCTGTAATAGGGTGGTGGCAGTTGTGTGAGTAGAGAGAAGAGGACATATAGGAAAGATGTTAAGAAGGAAGAAACAACAGGACTTGGCAACCAGTTGGATATATGGGGTGAGTACAAGTGAGGGATTGAAAATGCCACTGGGTGACCAGGAGAATGATGGTGCCCTCAGCAGTAGTCATAGGGTTTGGGAGGAAAAATAATGAGATTTATTTTGGACATGTTGAATTTGAGATGCCTATGGGACATCCAGTTTGAGATGTCCAATAGCCAGTTAGTGATGTGAGACTGGATGTCAGGAGAGACTAGGGATGGATAAGTAGATCTGAGGATTATCTGCATTGAGAGAAATGAACCCATGTGAGTTGATGAGATCAGCAAATGAGATAGTATTGAGGCAGAAAAGGGCTCAGGACAGAGTCTTGGGAGATACCCATGATTGTTATATTCTGGATCAAAAGCCAGCAAAGGAGACAAAAGGAGCAGTCAGCCAGGTAGGAGAACTAAGAGAGAATAGTGTCACAAAAACCTAGAGAGGAGAGAATATCGAGAAAGAGAGAGTGATCAACAGTGTCAAATATTGCTGAGGGGTCAAGAAGGATGAGAATTGAGGATAGGCAATTAGGTATGATAATTAAGAGATCATTGCTTATTTTGAAGAGAGCATTTTTTCAGTTGAATGATGCATTTGAAAGTCAGATTGCAGATGATTTTTGGAGAGAATCAGAAGAGAGAAAGTGGAGGCATTGAGTGTAGGTGCATTTCTCAAGGAATTTAGCTGAGAAGGGGATGAGAGGACCACAGCTATCAGGTATGGTTGAATCATGTGAGAGGTTTTTAAGAATGGGGGAGATGTGAGCAGGTTTCTAGGTAGCAGGGTTGAAGCCAATAGATAGAGATTCTAGAGTAGTGGCAGAGTGGGGATGATAGAAGGAATAACCTGTTAGAGAAGATGGTCAAGGATGGACTCAAAGGTCCTTGGAGAGCAGTTGGTTTTGGCAAGGATCACCTGTTGAAGAATGGAATGAAGGAGGAGATAGTGAGAAAATGAATGATGTGAGATGAGGAGAACAGTGAGTGAATGCTTGGTGAATGGTCTCAATTTTTAAGAAGTATTAGATGAGGTCTTCTGCTGAGCGAGTGATGGGGGGAGTACCCTGGTAAGCTTGAGGAAAGATGAGGTTTGGAATAGCCCTTATGGTGAGTGGAATAGAGAATCAATTAGGAAGTAGAGAGATTGCCTTGCTGCAATAAGGGCCCATTTGATATTTGATAACATAAATTAATAGTGGATCCAATTAGCATGGTTTCATGATTCTTTCTAGTTCTATCCAGTAATATATGAATAGGAGTGAAAGGTAGCTGATGGGAGTAATCATGGGGTTAGGATTTGGCCATTTGTAATTGGTGATAGGACAAGGGAACAAGGGATACAAACATAGAAGATAGCATAGAGTTGAATTGAATCACCAAAAGTTAGAGATAGGAAAGAAAGGAAAGTGATGATGGCCTGGGAAATAACTGAGGGTAGAGTAAATGGAGTTCATAGTGAGTATGAAGAACAGGGTTAGAGACTGTAAGGCATTAGGAAAGATAGAGTCATAAAAGATTACAATCAGATAAAGGAATTTCAGAGTTCATGAATGTGAATTAATGTATTTAAGGTGGATATGTGCTGAAGTGAGTGTGGATACCAAGGGGTTTGTCTTAGCCTGGCAACTAATTCACTGATTTCAAGTCTCAATTTCCTCTTTGAAAGGAGAGGGTTGACATAGAACAGATAATGAAGTATACCTTCCTCGGCAGAGTTGAGGGAGACTATGAGAAGAGAATGGTGCATACATTGTCAAAGCCTGTTACTCTGTTGATAGTTTTTGTGTAACTATTTTCCTTTGCTACAGTGGTGTTCAATTTCAGGTTGTGTATTCCAAAAGAATAGTATATTCATTCTGTGTCTGTGTGACTATCTATACACACACACACACACACTCACACTCTCTCTCTCTCTCTCTTTCTCTCTCTCTCTCTCTCTCTCTCTCTCTCTCTCTCTCACTCTCACTCTCTCACTCTCTCACTCTCTCACTCTCACTCTCTCACTCTCACTCTTTTTTTTTGGTCCAGACCTGTTATTTCATCAGTATAACAAGTTTCCAGTGATCAATTTCCACCACCAATGCAAATTTGCACCTGCTCTTCAACTCTGGGTCTCCCAGTTGCCTGGGAACAATTGGAGGTTGAGTGACTTACCCAGGGTCACACAGCCAATATGTAGAAGAGACAGGACTTGAACCCAGGTCTATTCAGTTCTGAGGCCATCTCTGTATCCACTATGCCATGTTGCCTTTTAGCTATGTGTATATATGCACAATATGAATTAGAAATATGAATATGAAACTGAATGGAAACTGAATTAGAAAAATAAATAAGGTATTAGCTGAATTGATCTCTAAGGCTCCTTTTAGCACTGAAAAAATGAACCTTTGAAATACTTTTGTTAGTGTGTAAGCAATTAATGTGCTTTTTAAGAGTAAGTTTTTAATTGCTGCTTCTTACATCATCATAGTTATCCTCAATATCTCTCTCCCTCCCAGAAAGCCATCCCATATAACGAATAGTATTTTTTAAAGAGAAAAAAAACCTAGCAAAACTGTTCCATACAAAAAATCTGAACATGTGCAATATGTAACCCTTGTGGACTTCCCCACCTCCACAAAGAGATGGGGTAGGAATGCCTTCTCATATCTCCTCATTCTGGTCATGCTTGATCTTTATGATTTTATTACATTCCTTTTTGATTTTTTGGTGTGTCATTCTTTCTATTTATTTTGTTCTAGTCATTGTGTGTATTGTTTTCTTGTCTCTGCTTACTTCACTCTGCTTCATTTCATCTAGTCATTTCCGTGCTTCTCTGTAATCATCACATACATCATTTCTTAGAGCACAGTAATATTCTATTAAGTTCATGTACCACAGTTTGTTTTAACTAGTGCCCAATCGATGAGCATTTAATCTGTTTCTAATTCTTTGCTGTCAAAAAAAAAGTGCTCCTATTTTGGTGTATGTGGAGACTTTTTCTCTTATTGATGCCTTCCTTGGGGTATAAGCCCAGTAACAGAGTCTCTGGTTCAAAGGGTCTAGACATTTTAGTCCATTTATTTGCACAATTCCAAATTGCCTTCCAAAATGGTTATACCATTTCATAGCTCCACCAACAGTGTATTAGTGTGCCTAACATTCCACAACCCATCCAACATTGAATATTGCCATTTTTTGGGTCATCTTTGCCGATTTGCAGGGTATAAGGTGAAACCTTAGGGTTGTTTTGATTTGCATCTTATTAGTGGTTTGCAACTTTCTTTTATGTGGTTGTAAATACTTTGCAACTCTTTTTTTTTGAGAACTATTCATATCCTTTGACCATTTATATTGGAAAATGTCTGTTAATCATATATATGTGTGTGTATGTATATATATGTTTTATATATATATACACACATATATATAAAATTGTATGTGTGTGTATATATAGTTTACATATGTTGGATACCAAACTTTTATCAGAGAAATGTGATAAAAAATTTTTTTTCCCATTTGACCACTTTCCTTCTTATCCTATATGCATTAATTTTGTCTGTGCAGAAGCTTTTCATTATGTTATCAAAATTATCTCTTTTATCTTTTACCACAATCTCTTGTGTGATTGAGAATACATTTCCTACCCCCTGCTGTGACAGGTATATGATCTTTTTCTTTTCTAATTTTTTATAGTATGATCTTTAATATTAAGGTTGCACATCCATTCAGATTGTATTGTTTTAAGGTGTTGGTCTACTCCTAATTTCTACCAGACTATTTTCCAATTTTCCCAGCAATTTTTATCAAATAAGGAGCTTTTTCTTAGGTAATTTATATTTTCCACTTTATCTAACACTGAATTATTGAGTTCCATTGTTTCTGAA